AGAGGCTTTCAACCTCAAATCCTGCATCTAAATCAGTTACTCAATTACCTATTTCAATCTTTGAATCCAAAAATAACTCTGTTAAATCCCTAAATGTGTCTGGATCTCTTAAATGTGATATGTGCATCAAAATGAAATGCACATCTGTCTTGACTTCAGCAGGAAAGTATTATGGGTTTGATTGTATTTGTCTTTTTTTTTTTTTTTTTTAGACAGAGTCTTGCTCTGTCACCAGGCTGGAGTGCAGTGACAGGATCTCAGCTCACTGCAATCTCCATCTCCAAGGTTCAAGCGATTCTCCTGCCTCAGCCTCCCGAGTAGCTGGGATTACAGGCATGTGCCACCACACCTAGCTAATTTTTTATTTTTTTGTATTTTTAGCAGAGACAGAGTTTCACCATGTTGGCCTGGATCTTCTGACCTCATGATCCGCCCCCCTCAGCCTCCCAAAGTGCTGGGATCACAGGTGTGACCCACTGTGCCCAGCCGAATTTATTATTTTTATACCCATTTCTAAACCTTCCTGGAGCTGACACCTGTTACTCAGGGCCCAATTCTTCCATCTGAGGAAAGACTCAAAGGATTGTTCATCAGATGCTTGCTGGTGGCCGGGCTGTGAGTGGCCAGGACCAGTGGCTGCTCCCTCAGCTGCCCATGGGGTCACCAGGGGCTGTGGGCATGCAACCCAATTCCCTTTCCCTGCACTTTGCAGTCCTAGGCTGTTTGTCTCTGCTAGCCACTGATGCCTTCAGAAGCCACACTGAAGCTCGTCACCTCCTTCCAGAGTCCCTAGAAAAAGGGAGCACAACAGGGCACTGGGATTCCTGTCCTGGAGCACACAGAAAATGTCATCGTGCATGACCCAGCCGAGCACACTTCTCCGTTGGCTGGGCAGGGCGGGGATGGTGGCCGAGAGCCTTTGGCTGCCAACACTTACAGCATCCACTAGGTGGTGCTGGTGATGTCACCGTACCTCCGCCAAAGCAGTTTCAGGGTTCGTTTCCCCATGGAGTTGGATTTGTCTTCTCAATGGCTGAAACTGCTTCTAGACCCAAGACTTTGGCCAAGCCCCCTCCTCTGGAGCTGCAGACATCCTGGGTGACTTTTCCTGTGGTGTTGATGGTGAAGTTGAGCACTACCCATAGTCACTAGATCCTTGGAATTCCAAATGCAGTGGTCTCTGCTCACATCCCTGGAATTAAGAGACACCCGATTCTCACCTGGATTTGAGTCTGCGGCCCCCTTTCTTGTTGCTCCAAGGAGACAACGCTCAGGTAATAAAGGGAAATCGGCATAACGGGTATGCAGTAATTGATGGAGAGACTCTTAAATAGAATCAGGAACACTACCTAAAGTTGGTCTGCACAAGCTTGTGAGTGACTTGTGCTCAGCCAAGCTTTAGAGGGAACCATCTATACTGACTCTAAGCATGCCTTTAGGGGTAGCTAATACATTTAGAAAAAATTTGGGCTGAACAGGGTCTTGTTACTAGTAAAGGCCAGAACCTGGCTCATGAAACCTTAATTGTTCACGTCTTAATCTCCAACTTCCAGAGGAAATAGCAATTATACATATATCGGGACATCAAAGAGACTTCTTTCAAAGTCAAGGGAATAATCTTGCAGATCAGGTAGCTAAACAAGCTGCTGTTTCTTCTGAAATGCCTATCTTTCGTTTAACCCCTTGCCATGCTTCTCTTACAGTAGCTCCCATTTTCTCCCCCATTGAAAAAGAAAAATGAATAAAAATAGGAACTAAAGAAAATTTAGAAGGTAAATGGGTATTGCCAGACCAAAGAGAAATGTTGTCTAAGCCTCTCATGAGGGAAATCCTCTCTGAACTACATCAAAAACCCACTGGGGGCCTCCAGCTATGTGTGATGCAGTTCTGAGTTTATGGGTGTACTGGAATTTATATCCTGGCAAAACATGTCACAGACAGTTGTTTAATATGTGAAAAAAAAAAAAAAAAAAAAAAAAAGCAAGTGATTTCTTAAGGAAATCACCCCTTGGGGGGAAAATCCAGAGTAAGACCATTTCAAAGTGTTCAAATTGATTATACTGAGATGCCCTCAATCGGTTAACTAAAATATTTATTACTAATAGTAAATCACTTTACTCATTGGGTAGAGGCCACTCCCTTTCCAGATGGAACTGCTTGCTATGTAAGGCATGAATTAAAAATATCATACCCAGGTTCAGGGTAATAGAAAATACTGATTCAGACAATGGAACCCTTTTCACTGCACATGTCATTAAAAAGCTGGCTCAGGTATTAAATATAAAATGGGAATATCATATCCCCTGGGATCCATCTTCCTCAGGAAGAGTAGAAAGGATGAACCAAACTCTCAAAAGTTACCTAACTAAATTACTCCTAGAGACTTGGTTACCCCGGACTAAACGCCTTCCCATTGCTCTGTTACAAATCGGAACAGCCCTATCCGCTTATGAGATATTGTATGGGCTGCCCTACTTATATTCCACCACTATGTCCCTACATTTGAAACAAAACATCAGTTTCTCAGAAATTACATACTTGGTATCTCCTCCACCTTTTCTTCTCACAAGTACCACCTCTGGAGTTCCCCATACACCAGCACCAGCTTGGAGACCACATTTTCATCAAAGGGTGGAAAGAAGAGAAACTTGAGCCAGCTTGGGAGGGTCCCTATCTTGTGCTCTGGACCACTGAGACTGCTGCAATCCACACAGCAGAAACAGGATGGACGCATCACAGCCGAGTCACGAAGGCATCATCGCCTCCGGAGTCATGGCCTACCGTTCCAGGGAACAGCCCTACCAAACTAAAGCTAAGAAAAATCTATACCTCCTGTATTTACTCTACTATTCTATAACCTTTCCCCATCCAACAGCTAGCCATCTTATCATTAACGTAACCAGATCAAGTTCACCCCAAAGCGTTGCTTTTGATGCTGTGTCGTGCCCTGTGGTAACTTACAGAACCAAAGGCAGCTTACCGCTTCAGAGAAATATCTCTGTCCCTCTTTGATTTCCTCAAATTGGAAGGACATATTAAATTCTCACATGGTTAATAATCCTGAGAAGAGCAGTTGTGTTAACTGGTGGAAATGGGATTCTTGTCCTTCCCAAACAGATTTCCTGTTATACTTGGTCCAGTGTCCTATGGAATACCAAAGGTCCCGGTTGGACTGCTCCCATAAGTCTTTGCCAGTCCTTAAAACCATTTATCCATTTCACTAAAGGAGTTGCTCCTCCCAACTGTCAATATAACCAATGTAATCCCGTATAGCTTACTATCACTATTGCCACAACTCGAGACTCTTCTCCTTCATGAGGTCATGTTTATGGTATAGGGGCTGACATCTCAGGAAAGGATCCTAGAAGATTATTTGAAATACACTTTGTTGCCGGGTGCGGTGGCTCACGCCTGTAATCCCAACACTTTGGGAGGCCAAGGCGGGCGGATCACAAGGTCAGGAGTTCAAGACCAGCCTGACCAACATGGTGAAACCCCGTCTCTACTAAAAATACAAAAATTAGCTGGGTGTGGAGGTGCGCATCTGTAATCTCAGCTACTCAGAAGGCTGAGGCAGGGGAATCGCTTGAAGCCGGGAGGTGGAGGTGCAGTGAGCCGAGATTGCACCACTGCACTCCAGCCTGGGCGACAGAGCAAGACTCCATCAAAAATAAAAAAATAAAAATAAAGAAAGAAAGAATACGTTTTGTTGCTCCTTCATCCCCTCCATCCCATCATCCTCAGACTATTCCCCCTATACGCAATAACAAGACCAAAATAGATATGGTAGAGGTAAAAATTTAAGGCAAACTTAAATTGAAACAATTGAAGCAATTGAAACAGGGTACCAGGATGCAAATGCCTGGCTGGAAGGGGTTAAATATTCCATCTGCACTGTAAACAAAAGCAATTGTTACACTTGTGTGCACGGTGGACCAGAGGCCCTGATTGTCCCCTTTTCACTCGGATGGTCCTCTCGGTCAGACATAGACTGTATGATAGCTTTTTTTCCGCAAGACCACGCAGCCTGGGATAATAAATTGTGCCAGACTCTCTCCCTGCTATTTCCTGGAGTCCAGCACCCTGCGGGTCAGCCTCCAAGGGCCATGCAGCCGCCATCTTCCAAGGCCAATTTTGAGGACAGCTGCTCCTCAGCTGGGGACCATGGCCATGGCTCACCACCTGCCCTTCGGGGATCAAGCGGGGGACAGGCACCCTTTAGTAACCTGGAGGGGACCCATCACATGGCAACCACCACTGCCACCACCATCAAGAAGCTACTGCCTGACTGAGATACGCCCCAAGGAGGACGAGGGGGAGTGGGTGCTGGAAAGACAGAGTGAGACACCAGCAGGGACACTTCATTCTCAGAAGGACGTCACACCGGGGCCAGGTCCACAGTGGAGCCGCTGTTTCTTCTCCTGTATCCAACACTTCTCTTTGCTTTCTCCATTTGGAGCTTTCTTCTCCTGGCCCTCTCATTGCTGGTTCCTGCACACCTCCCTCTACTCCTTCCCGCAGCACATTCTTTAGTCTAAAGTAAACGGCTTCTTCCCATTCCCCACACTCTCCAGTCCTCTCTCTTCCCTTATTCCAGGCCCCAGCCTCCTCCTTCCTGCCTTCTCCTTGGTGCACCTGCCATCTGCATTAACCCCTTCCCTGCTGTGTTCTGCTACAGAAATGCCAAAGTCACTAACACTCAGTTCCACCAACTTTACCTCGTTCTCTTTATCCATCTAATAAAATGTTTGTATTCTGGCCAGGCGCCGTGGCTCACGCCCATAATCCAAGCACTTTGGGAGGCTGCGGTGGGCGGATCATGAGGTCAAGAGATCGAAACCATCCAGGTCAACATGGTGAAACCCAGTCTCTACCAAAAATACAAAAATTATCTGGACCTGGTGGTGGGCACCTGTAGTCCCAGGCACTTGGGAGGCTGAGGCAGGAGACTCGCTTGAACGAAGAAGGCAGAGGTTGCAACGAGCCAAGGTCACGCCACTGTACTCCAGCTTGGGTGATACAGTGAGACTTCATCCCAAAAACAGAAAAAACGTTTGCCTTTTGTGCTGGCCTGTGCCTGCTCTGGGGTCACTGTTCTCGGCCCGCCTGCAGAAACTCATACCACTTGGTGAGCATGTTTAGCTTCTCCTCCAGCTCCTGAGCCCGCTCCTTTAGCTCCTCAGCTAACTCTGACTCCGCCCCCTCCAACAAATGCTTTGTCTCGTACACAAGGTGGAACATATCCAGCACAAGCAAGATGCCTCCGCTGGCCGCACCCGCGATCATGGTTCCTCTGCTCAGTGCCAGGGCCGGCCTTTCAGCAACTCTCTCCACCAGTTCCTCGCCTTCAGCTGAGGTTCGCCCAATGACCTCGGGGGGAGGGGCAGATGGCGCTGATTGAAAGTTGGCTCTGGCTTGCCTGATGGCACGGATGTCCTTCCCAATGCCTTCCATGAGTTGGTAAGAATTGTCAGCTATGGAAAGAAGGCTGGGTGTGTTCTCAGTCATGAACTCCTTGATCACCTTTAGTACATCAGTGTTGCTTTTATTGATCAGGTCTCGGGCTTGGGCTTCTGCCCGCAACTTCTTTGCATATTCCACGGCACTGCTGGTAGTCTCAGCCACAGAGGCCGTTAGTCCCAGCGCCATCCCAGCTTCCAACAATAGAAAGCCAGCTCCGTCTGTCAGGACTGCCAGACCCAGGCCGGCAAGGAATATGAAGTCGGAGATAGTGCCGGCAGAGCTGGCCAGCACATTGGCGATGGTGGTGCCTCTGTGGAAACCCTGAACCCCGTCTGCAAGGGCACGGAGCTTCCCTATGTGATCCTCAAGCTCCTTTTTCAACGGAGGAAACAAATGCAAAAAAAACTCCCCATACTGCTGGTCTTTATGGTCCCAGTTCTCATCCTTCACCATCATGTATTTTGTAATCTTGAACAGAGCTTCACGGAGCTCATGTGCCTGATACCTGCACAAGAAAACATTAAATGATTAAGAAATGCAGTTTCCCTATCTGTGAAATGAGCTTGATGAGATCTCTCTCCTGTGTAAATTGCAGAGCTTTCACTATCAATCAAACGGAAACAAACGTTACAAATGGAAAGAATTCTCTTTCAAACTCAAACAGGTTTTGTTCATCAAAGACACTCCTCAGTACTCATTCAATATGCAAATAACCTAAAGGCATCTCAGATGCTCTTTCAGGGTAGGTGTTTGATAAAGATGCCTCCTCACTCAAGGGCAGCTCAACACCATCCCTGCCACGGGGTTAGGAGAGGGGAAACTCTGCAGATGAAGCAAGGACAGTGAGAGTGGGACAAAAACACCTTATTCCCAGGATGGCAGCAAAGGGCAGCATGAACTTTCCCAAAAGGAGCTCTTTCCTTTGTCCTCAGCCCGTGGGAAGTGATCTCCAGGCCCCTGGAACGTCCTGCCTGGTAGAAACGCCTTCTTTGCCTGGTGATTTGGCCATGGGACAGAATAGCAATGTGATGGATGATGGGGTTTGGGGCTATGTGGTGCCTTTCCTGACTTTCAGAGGACCTGGGGACTAAAGGGTTAGACCTCAAGGAGGGGCTGGAGACTCCAGGTCAGCCATGAGGGCAGCTTGTGATCCAGCCAAAGCAAATACTCTGGACGCTAAGGCATGGGTTGAGAAAGACCTTCTCCTTCACCAAACTCCAGCTGGGCTCTTCCAAGCCTCTTCTCCACGAGGCACCGGCCTTGGCCTTCCATGCCCACACACTGCTTCCTGGGCCTGCATGGTCCCGGCTCTGCAAGACTCACTCCAAGTTGGTTTAGGGAGGGCCCACCTCCGATGCTGTCTGATCACCCTCTGCCATCTGATCATGCTCCTCACCCCCACCTTTGATGGGTGAGTGTCTGACCTGCCTTTAGGGAGAATCCTGGTAGGCCAGTTTAGCACCAACCCCCCACTCTGGTGTCTCCTGTCAGTCCTGTTCCATCTGGTGCCCCTCACCCTGGTGTAGGCTGTGACTCCACCTCTGTCTTCACTGTATTCGGAGCTGGGTTCAGTCTCCCTGCCCTCTAACAACAATCCGGAATAAAGGCTTCCTTCCTGATTCAATGTGATTCACAGGAATGTTTTCTTAAGTGGGTGAGTTTCCCTGGTTGGCAGGACTCCATGTGTTTGACCCCACATCAACAAGGTAAAACACAGAATCCTGAGGACAATGGAGCTTCACACCAAAACCCTCCCAGACTCTGCCCTGTGTGTCTCTTCCTTAGGCCGATTTTAATCTGTCTTCTTTCCCTGTGATAAACCACAATCCCTGCAATGGCAGTTTTCAGTGAGTTATGTGAGTCTTTCTAGCCAATTGTAAAATCTAAGAATGATTTCAGGAATCCCCATTAATTTGCAGGTGGTGTGAAAGGTAAGCGTGCCTTCAGGCACTGCTGTCTGGCTACCTCTGAGTACTTTGAATTTAAGCAAAAACCTGTTCTGAGGCTGGGCGCGGTGGCTCAAGCCTGTAATCCCAGCACTTTGGGAGGCCAAGGCAGGTGGCGTGGCACATGCCTGTAATCCCAGATACTCAGGAGGCTGAGGCAGGAGAATTGCTTGAACCCAGGAGGCAGAGGTTGCGGTGAGCCGAGATCGCGCCATTGCACTCCAGCCTGGGTAACAAGAGTGAAACTCTGTCTCAAAAAAAAAAAAAAAAAAAAAAAAAAAACCTGGTCTGTTTCCACCAAGCTTGTTAGACGTTAGTTATTTCCACCAAGCTGTGCACTCACTATGTGTCAGTCATTATGCTAAGCACTTACATGGATGATCTTATTTTTCTCACAATAAAACTCCATGGATGAAGAAAGGCTGAAAGTGATAAAGTAACTCATAAAGCTTCCAGCACCAGCAGATGGCAGAAACGACCCTGTCCCTGTGGGCTTCCTTTCCCCTCAGCCTGAGGCTACTCACTGCCAGTGAAGGACACAGAGCTCCCAAAGGTCATCTTCAAGCCCGGCAGAGGGGGCTGCCTGGAGGAGGTGTGCCTGTCAGGGAAAACTACCCCAGGGGAGATCTGGGGGACATCGCCAGGGCACCCCACGGATGTAAACCCATAGTTGTTACCCATTTAGTTGAGCAGCAGTCACGAATACCTCCCAGGCTTTATCGTCAGTCAGCAGGAGTAGCAGGTAAGATGGTTTCACTTTGTCCTGAAAATACTTGCGGGCATCCTCAATAAACCTGCTAGTATCTAGTCAGAAAGAAAAAAGGATAATGTTGAAAGAAATCATGGAAGAGCGTAACAGCCATTGCGTAAAAGGTGGTTACATGGTAATTTTCCTGGACAGCTGCGAGGTGGGATATGTTGGATGGAGTCATCAGTACTGTAGATGGAATTGTGTGCCTTCAAAATTCGTATGCTGAAACCCTAAACTCGGGTGACTGTATTTGGAGATCACCCCTTTAAAGAAGCGACTGAGACTGAATGAGATCACAAGGTAGGGCTCTAATCCTCGTAGAGGGCTAGCGTCCTATTGTAAGAAGAGAAAATGACATGAGAAGGTCAGGTGTGCACACAGCACAAAGGCAGCCTCCACAAGCCAGCAAGAGTGTCCTTCCCAGACACCAACCCTGCTGGCACCGTCACCTTGGACTTCTTGCCTCTGGAACTGGGAGAGGATTAAAGCCAGGCGTTGAAGTCACCCAGCCTGTGGTATTCTGCTATAACAGCCTGAGAACACTGAAACGCCAGGGGAGTGCCACAGTGCTTTAGGGAGGAATGAATCCTTTTCAGTTCGTAGCCAATAAAAAGTGAGACTTCCAGGACAAGGAAGTGGAAACATTCCACGATCACTTCCATCTGCCATGTGCCTGTTTGGTGTCAAGCACTTTACACCAGTGTCTTCAAAATATGAGATTCAACACATCGCTGGGGTATGAAGTTTGTTTATTGGATCAAGAGCAACGTTTTAAAAAGAAAATCAAATGAAAATATCAGTGTGCTGAGCACAGCAGGGGTGAGTGTTGTTTATGTGAGTTATTTCAAGTAGGTAAGCCTTAACGTAAATTCCTTGTTTCAACAGTGAAACAAGCAAATATTCACATTTAATGGGATAAATAATGGTATTCCTACCAAGAACTGAAGGCAGTAAAGAGCAGGATTACTGCCAAAGTCAGCTGCCCCAAAAATGTGGGGTTTGCAGGGATGTGGACATTATGGAATGGCAGATAAGTGACTGGGGACCAGTATGTACACGTGTGCACTGAGATATAATGTAAATTGTTTCCTGCTGTGGATGCACAAGAGGCCTCATTCTTAATTCACAGAAGAAAGTAAAATCCAGACAGCGAGAGTCACTGCCCAAAACCAGCAGGCAGGAAGCTCAGGATCTGACGCCAAGGCCAACGTTTCGTGACATTGCTTCGAAGACTCCTCATGTTTGCAAAATGCCTCTGACTTCGGCATTCTCCCCTATAGCTTACCTGTGGTGCTATTTAAAGTTTGTTTAAAAATAATGTCTCAAGCGCCACAGCATTGAGTACAACTACCATGCAAAGGAGATTTCTCTGCTGGTCGTGGGTGCTCTCAGATGGGCAGTGGAGGGGGTTTCTCCGTGGGTCACAGGGGAGGGACCCTCACACTCATCTTTGTGGCCCCTCTGTGTCCTCTGCTCCTTTCAGGCTGGTGTCAGGGTACACGGCTCCCCACTGGCACCTCTGGACCCAGCTGACCCCTTTATTAAACCACAGATCATCTCGTTTTGGAGGGAGAGTTTTCCTCAGCCCCCCAGGACAGCCCTTCCTAAGGATTCCTGGGTCGGCCGGGAGGTCCTGGCTTCTAATCTTCCCTGTGCTCCCCTCGTCTTGGACAGGACTCAGCACAGCCCAGTTTGCTGTCCAGGGCGGCTCCTGAGCAGATCTGACTTGGATGCCGAGGCAACTCCGTGAGGGGAGGAGGCCGTCCTGAGGAAATGGGGCTTTAGGGAAATGAACGCAGCGCTGACTTGGCTGGGCCAGGGCTTGTCCTGTTTTCTCTTTTTCCTTCTTCATCAAAAGGCAGAAGCGTTAGGGGCTGGAAGGAGGGAACCTCCAGCATTAAATTTGTGTTTTATTGATGGGGAGGGATCGTGGCTACAAAAACCAGGCCTGAACCATTCCTGGGCAAACAAAACCAACCAGGCCTTCAGGATGGCTGTAACCCCCTTCAGCTGCAAGCTCTGGAACCCCACTGGGTCATGTGACATGGGTGCTTATGTGAGACACAAACAGAACTTAACCTCCGCCAGTCACGAGCAGCCAGCTGACAGGGCCATGCGGGGATGGGACAGTGGGAGGTCACAGAAGAAACAGGAACTCCAGGCAGCAGGTTCCCACGCGGGACACAGAAGGAGCTGCTGAAACCAGCTGCAGGGAAGGGGGAGGGGACGGGCCCACGGGACCCTGACAAACACATGTGGCCAGTCCGGCTAGGACCAGTAAGATCTACCTCGGCGCTGGGTCTGGCCCACGTTTCGCCCCACACCTGATCACACCCTCCTTGTCTCACGAAGCCCAACCCACCCACGCCACGGCAGTTCCGTGTTTGCTACAGAACTGCGTGTTTGCTACAGAACTGCGGGCCCCCCCAGTTCCAGGAAATCCCCGCCTCTTCCCAGAAATCCTCATGCTGACTCCGTCCCTTAATTTAGTAAACCCACCGAGACAGAAAGCCCCAAGCCCACTGGGCTGGGCTGGCCCTTCCGAGTCCGCCCGCACTCCCACCCCTGAGCCTGCCTGCCGCTGTGCAGTAAAAGCCGTTTCGCTTTTGCTTTCACTGACATTTTCTCTCAGCGGTGTGAGAAACCTGGACAAGGCTAAGGTCCGGTCTCGCCTGCTCTCAGAGACCTCCCTGAACCCACCGGCTCTGACAGGACCAGGAAGGTTTCCAGCAAGGTCAACCACAACAGGCAGTTTTGTAACTGGAACCGATCAGATAATGTCCTGATCGCACTTCCGTATTCACTCGATAAACACTTGTCTCTGACACTTTTCCATCATAACACCAAACCTCCTCCAGTGTGGCTTTCTCAAGTCATGAATTCCTTCTTATTCAAATCAATGTTATTGTGCCTCAGATGTTTCTTTGACGAGGGGTGTTTGAGGTCAAGGGAATGAGGCCCTGCCCGAGGCAGTCATCCCTGCTGAGCAGGTGCCTGTGCTGAGCAGTGCAGGGCGGGTGCCCAGACACAGCTTAGGGGAGCAGGGTGGCTTCCATCTCCAATCAACAGGAGACAGGTAGAGGGGAGGGGGGAGGCCCTACTGTGTGGCAGGCTCTGGCTGGGCCAGGTACCCGTGTAATATTTGATCCTCAGGACAACACAGAGAAATAGTATCCTGGTGGTGCAGGTGAGGAGGAGCTCCAGGCCACACAGAGGGGACATGGCCAAGGCCAGAATGGGGTCCAGTTCAACCGGGCGCTAGGTCACTCTTCCCACAGGGGCATTCGGAGCAGAGGGGCTGGTGGAGGCCAGGAGCTGCAGGGACGGGACCTGCCTTTCCAGGAAACACCCCAGGGTCAGCCAGAAGCAGAGCAGGAGGTGAGAGGTCAGGGCTGCTGGTCAACCTCCTCTTCCACCCCTTCCCTTTTCCTGGCCCCCGCCCTCCCCTCCTCCTGGCCCCCGCCCTCCCCTCCTCCTGGCCTCCGCCCTCCCCTCCTCCTGGCCCCCGCCCTCCTCTCCTCCTGGCCCCCGCCCTCCTCTCCTCCTGGCCCCCGCCCTCCTCTCCTCCTGCGTCCCTGCCCTCCCCTCCTCCTGGCCCCCGCCCTCCCCTCCTCCTGGCCCCCGCCCTCCCCTCCTCCTCGGCTCCTGCCCTCCCCTCAATCCCCTACTCTGCTGTCTCTACTTCCCCAAGGTCCTGCCCCATTTGAGTCATTTGCTAGGTGCCAGGGCAGGGAGAAAGTGGGCACATGAGCCCATTATCCCTGAGGTGAGGTTAGGAGGCAGATGCCCCCACAGACCCCTGGGTGGGGGAACCCCACCTGGCCTCTCTTGGCGTTTGGGGAAAACCCAGGTCCTTCTTCACCTGGGTTCCTCTGGGGCTCACTCAGCTCTGGAGGTGCCGCCCCTTATTTTAGGTGTGAGTAGGAAGCAGCCAGGGAAGGGGATTCAAGCCTACCTGACTTTACGAATTCAAGAAACCGGTCATGGACAGAATTGCCTTGGAGCTCTTCAGCCACTCTCTCGCCTGGAAGGTTCTGCTGCATCCTTGAGGAGAAGAAAACAAACTGTGAGATGGAATGTGAGCCACCTGTGGACAGAGGGAGGCTCGGGCAGCCGGGCTCTGCAGATCCCTCTGGGGTGGCAGCAAATGCCAAGGTCAACCTAACCCAGATGGTCTCTCTGTCACCTGCTCCATCACCTGCTATTTACAGACACTCACCTCGCTCCAGCTCCCTCTGCCCTCACTCCCACACCAAGGCAAAGTCAGCTTGTCCAGCTGGGGATGAGGAGAAGATAATCAGAGGACGGGCAGCTATCTGACAATGACAGAAACTACAGTCGATACACAGAAAGAGAGACGGAAAGGAACGTTGTGACAGTGACCTGGGCCTGGGCACATGTGTGATGACTGATGGATGACAGCCAGCGTGTGCTGAGTGTCTGTGGTGCGCAGGGCTTCTTCCACGTGTCTCACTAGATGACCACACACAGGCCAGGAGGTGGGGGCCGCTTTCCCACCTGAACACAGAGGAATCCACAAAAGTCAGGGAACTTGCTGGTGTTTTCACAACAGTGCTAGAGCCAGGACTCCTGCCTCAATCCCACAACTTCAGTGACTCTGCTCCATTCCCTTAAATAATCCACACTGAGTCATGTATTCGTGCTCATTATAAATAACGCCTCACTGCAAATCCATGTCTCGCAGCTGTGCCCAACCCTTCGTCTTGGTGAACTGACGGTGCTGCAGTGGACAGCCGGGGCCCCTGTTGCTTCTCTAAGATCCTTCGTCCCACAAAGGCCTGGATGCTGCCAGATGCCGGCCCCGCCCCTGCTGTGGCCGCTGCACCCTCCTGGTGCTGCCCTGTTCCCTCTGCTGTCCTCCCCCAGCTGATGGACCTCACAGTGTTTCCAATTCTTCATATAAATTTGGCTACAAAGAACATCCGCTTTGCAGAAAAACTTTGGCCACATCCGAGATGAGTTCTTTAAGATATTTGTAGGAGGAGAGTGACTGGATCAGAGGCTATGAACATCTCAGAAGCTTTTATACCTAGAGCCACACTGTATGCAAATTGTGCCAGTTCACACTCAGCCTGGCACTCTATGGAGATGCCTATTCATTCAGTCTTACTAGTTCTCGGCAGTCTCTTCTTTAGGACCAAAAATATACACAAAACATACAAATATGAGAACTAAATATACTTGTTACCAATACAAACTAGGACAAAATTTAAAGCAGAAATGTAGCAGCTGGGATGTGAAGCACTGAACAAAGGAGGAGAATTAACATTGTCATTTTTAAAAGAGGGAAGTTAAGAAACACTGGGTACAACTGAGTGCATATGAAAGTTGTAAGTAAATTGTTTACAGCTAGACTGTTGCTCATGGAAGACATCAAACTGCTGATACGATGTCAGAAAAAGATGGAGAGGAGAGGTAGAGGCAGCGTACACACAGGATGAAAGTGACTAGTAATGATACAGTGAGTGATAACCCTGACACCGCTTCAGCCCATCACAGTCAGGGCGGCTCCAAGCAGGACCATTTTTCTTTCCTCACCGTGTGTCTCTGCTCACTCCCTGGCACAGCCAGTTCCAGCAGCTGGTCATTTGTAGCCTTTATTTTAATGACACAGGGACACAGTGGTTCCCAGGTCCCCCAATGGAGTTCCATCCCCCAGCATTCACCCAAAAGCCCCCTCGTCAAAAGCCAGTGGCCTCCCTCTTTCCCTCTCCTGCCTTTGTCTCAAAGTTCAGGCACTGAGATGTCTGTCCTGAGGCCCCCATGCAGCAACGGCAAAAGGGGGAGCCAGTCCTGGGCAGCAGGTCACCAAGGGAGTATGCTGAGGGGTGTCTGGGCACTCGTTGCTGTAAGGCACAGGGGTGATAGGAGAGGGGCTTTTCTTCCCCCTCCTCCTGTTTGTTCTCGGTGTGACCCTCTACGCCAGGGCAACCGCCTCAACACCATGACCCAGGAGGACCAGGAGAGAGCAGAGGAGCAGGAGGGCAGAGACAGCTGTTGCCTCGGACACGCCCCACACTTGTGAGGAGCTGTGCCTGGGAGCCCATACTTCCTGGTCATTGTTGGCCTGGCTCTGACTCTGATCTGGGGCCTCTGCTGAATATTGAGTCTGGCTCTTCCTGTTAGCCTTGACTAGGACACAGAGGGTTTTCCCTGTGTGAGTCTACCAGTTGGTCAATTCCAGGAAGGGACTTTGTATTCTGAAAGAAGCCCAGATGGTGCCTGGTCGAGCCCAAGCCCTGGCCAACCGTGCAGCCCAGACAAGGAGCCCTCCTTCCCGCCTCAGTGCTCTGAGCCAAGCTCACCAGATGCCCAGGACACAGACTCTCAGCAAAGCAGCTCCGCCCATGTCGCTGTGGAGCTTCCTCCTTGGGCGGGAAAACAGGGGTGGAGACGGTGTGCTCCTCCTGAGAAATCACCATTTTCATTTCATTTTGGAGCAATGGTTCTGCTCTGTCACCCAGGCTCGAGTGTTTTTGTGCCATCATAGCTCATTGCAGCCTAGAGCTCCTGGACTCAAGTGATCCTCCTCCTTCCACCTTCTGAGTAGCTGGGACTAGACGTCACCACGCTGGGCTAATTTGTTCATTTTTCATTTCATAGAGACAGCATGTCCTGTGTTGCCCAGGCCGTCTTGAACCCCCGGCTTCACGCGGTCCTCCCGCCCCGCCTCCCGCAGCACTAGGATCACAAGCCAGCCACGGCGCTTTCCACCTTGATGGGCATCTCTTGCTGGTGAAGAGCAAATAAAACCATGACTCAGATTTCACAGAAGTTACCCCCTGATTTCATGTGCTTTGGGCAGCTCTATCAGGATTTTGAGAGGGGAAAATGCTTCGGCTGGGAGGGGAGGTGACTTGCCCAGAGTCACACAGCTCTTGGAGGGCAGAGGGGAGGCCAGCATCTGGCTTTGTGACTCTCATATTGAAGCAAAAATCTGTGATTTTAATAATCCAGTTTCCTGGTTTGATTCTGCTTCTACAAACAGAGATCTAAGCTCACACTCCTATGTTATACTCAGAGTTCCACAGTGTGGCTTTTGAATCTCATGATTGCAAAGCTGGCATCATGCCACTGGCACCATTCTGCAATGCACCCTCTCATTCCGCTGTCTGAGCCACATGTCCCATTAGAGACACGGTACAGTGTGTTTATTCTCCATCACCCCAGAGGTCTGAACAGAGGGACAGAGGTGAGGGCCAGAGACGTGGACGTATGATCTACCTGCTCAGCCTGCTCACCTTGCACAGGACCCTGGACAAGTCACTTGCCTCCCAGGCCTCAGTTTCACCAAAGAGCCTGGCACAAGTTGGTGCTCAGACTCAGGGTGGGTGAGAGACCTCTGGGTTCCTTGCATCTCAAAAGAAACCTGTTGCCCCACTGGGCCTCAGCAGCAGCACCCTGGGGCCAGCCTGGGTGTGGCCAGGTCACATGGAAAGGCTGGGCTCCGGGTCATCTCCCCTCCTCCACCTTCTTTGGTTCCTCAAATTTCCCAAAGAGATGGGCACCCCCAACACCCACCTTCCTTATGGGGTCACTGGGCCATGTCTCAGCCGTCAAAAACAGAGCTGAGCCCAGGGAGCTTTGTGAACCCATCTCACCTGCTCCTTCGTTCCCCCATTACAGTTTAGGGGCACAGCAGGAGGGAGGGAGCAGTCACATTCAAGCCTAGGTAAAAAGCCAGGCTCTGCCACTATTTTCCTGTCTGATCTGAACCAGTTACCTAACTTCTCTCAGCTCTTCATGGCTCAGGCGTGTTCCAGCACCGTGGGAGGCAGAAGTGGGTGGCTCACCTGAGGTCAGGAGTCTGAGACCAGCCTGACCAACATGGTGAAACCTTGTCTCTACTAAAAATAAAAGATTAATGGGGTGTGATGCTGGGCACCTGTAATCCCAGCTACTAGGGGGGCTGAGGCAGAAGAATTACTTGAACCCAAAAGGAGGTTGCTGTGAGCTGAAGTCCCGTCATTTCACTACAGCCTAGCAACAGAGCAAGACTCTGTCTCAAAAAAAAAAAAAAAAGAAAAGAAAAAAAAAAATATATATATATATATTATACATACAGCCAGTACATCTTAGGCCGTGTACACACCTTATTTCTTTCAGTTCACGCATCTAACCCCACAGAGTAGTATCTTGATTCCCATATTACTTGTGAGCACATTTAGGCAATGAGGCTATATGACTTGCCTAAGGTCACAAAGCTAGTAAGTGGCAGGGTCAGGAATTGAAATGCACTTCCTGCCCTAGCAGGCAGAGATGCTGTTGTATGTTCAGTAAATTAGGCCGTTTGTTTAATTAAGATGACACACAGATTTTGTTATTCTAAATATTTCTGGAACATGATGCTTAGGAGGAAGCTGTCAAGACATAGATTTTTTTTTTTTTTCCTTTGCTTTGGGTTTCTCTTTCTCCCTCCAAGAGAAGGGTAGGGCCAGGCTTGGAGGAAAACAACAGCCAGCCCCTCAGCTCCTTTTGAAATAAAGATGTCCCACTTAAAATTAGTGCATAATGCAGTATTTTTGACTATAGGTACTATGCTCTACAGCAAATCTCTAGAATGAAGTCACCTTGCCTGATACTTTAAACCAATCAAACAATAATTTTCCATTTTTCTCTGCTGTTAGTCCTTGGTAATGACCATTCTATTATTTGCTTCTATGAGTTGAATGACTTTAGATACTTATAATTATTTATCAGCAATATATAAACAATACAATAGCTTTTTTTTATCACATTAAGTGTTCTTAGTAAAAAAAAAAATAAGAAACTAAACAATATTAAACAGACAAATAAGCCAAAACCAATAGGACATAAAAAAGCTTTTGAAGGTGACGTATATGTGTATTATCTTGATTATGGCAATGGTTTTGTAGGTGTATGCCTATGTCCAAACTTATCAAAATATGTAATTAAACATATGCAGTTTACTGCCTATCAATTAAACCTCAATAAAGCTATTTAAAAAGTGAATCCACTAAAAAAAAAAAAAAAAAAAGAAATAAAGATGTCAAGCTGGTGAGGGGTGTCTTAAGCACTTTACTGCAGGATTAGCTAGAAGAGGAAGTCGAGGAAGCACAGCCAGCCTGGTTTCTAGCAATACCCTAGCAGGCTACACAGCAATGCTGCATTTTTTGAGTGTTTTTCTTCTTTTAGAGAGCTAACACATCCTTGTTTTGTTTTTTCTGGAGCAAGAGCGGGCAAAAGACAGGCTGTGATGAACATGCGTCCTTCATCCTACAAGACAGAAGTTGTCCCATCTCCAACCCCTTAGGTTAAAAAGTTTAAAAATAAAAGCAAGAAAGCCAGGGCCCTGATCCTCCCTCCTCTCTACCCTCCTGGACCTTTCAGATGAGCAGCCCCACAGAATGCTGCTCTTCTCTCCGGGGCTGGAGAACTCTCAAATGACACCGAGCAATCTCTCCATGTTTGTAATTATCCCCCAATTACCCACTACGAGGCTTCTCACTTTCTAACACCGCTTAGGAGGAAGCTTGCCTCAGTTTGCCAAACCTGCAATGTGCTTCTCCCTCATGGCAACTTCCTCCTTGTCCCAGAGAAGTGGCCCCTCTCAGCCTTGAAATTCCTCGAGTCCTTTGTCTATGGCATGCCTGGGAAACACATCACAGGCTGCCTTTGTATTTCACTCGTTCTGCCACTTTCCCCTTGAGGACCGTAAACTCCCCAAGGGCAGAGGCAGGGCCCTGGGATTTCACAGGGCAGTCCGGCTCCCTTCTCCCAATCCCCATGACTCACGGTACCTTTCCGGGGTCCCTGTCATCTCCACCTCACGTTAGACTCATCTACAGATTTGTCTCAGCTCTCCCCTAACTGCCCATGGGCACGGGCCAGGTCTTACTCAACCTCCCACCCCCCACCACCTGGCAGAGTCCCTGGCACAGAAAGGACAGTTAAATATTTGCTCAATTACACATCTGTGTCCCCTTCCCCCCACATAGCAGCCTTGTATATTAACTGACTATTATTAATTGAGTGATTGTCTCAACAGGCCTCCCTCCTTACCCAAAAAGGGCTCCTAAGCCATCAGGTGAGGTGATCAGCCCTGGCCCAGACAGTGGAGTTAGAATGGCCGCAGTGCTGCCCTGCGTGGAGAAGGAGCTAAGGCTCTCTTCCCTTTCCACAGTTACTCAACAGTTACTTTGAAATCCTGTTAAACCCAGAAAAGGGCGCAGTGAACCGAGAAGTGGCTGGGCCTCTCGGCTGCCCGGTGGAGAGAGCCGCCAGTCTCCGAGACCTGGGGCTTCCCAAGGAGTCTTCTCCCGACACCGGCTGGGTGGGGCCGCGCGCTCCCCCTGCCCACCCCTCCACCTCAGGACAGCCGGCAAGCTAGTGATGGGGGTGCGCCACCTCCGTTTGAAACAGCGGGGCTTCCCAGCAGGAATAGGGGTGCCGAAGTCCTGTCTCCTGGGCGTGGCCTCAGAACAGGATGGGGTGAGGACCCCAGCACGGGGAAGCGGGTGCGGGGAGTGGAGAATCGAAAACTCCGATCTGGCTCCAACACGAAAGAAGCAATCGCCCAGGCCTGGTGGTGACGGCAGAGCCAGCGGCCCCCGCGCCCCGCCCGGGCGGGACGGCCCCCGGGTCAGTGGAATCAGGTGCACGCCTGGGCGGCCCCGACGGCGGCTGCATTCCGGGCCTTCCTCCCGGGGGGGCACAGACGTCGGAGGGCGAGGGCTGGAGCGGGGGCTGGGGTGGCCCTTCCCGCCTCGCGCCCGGGTCCCCGCCGGGTCCCCCGTGTCCGGGCAGCCCCCGCACCTTCCCCCGGGCCCTCCCCGGCCGGCCCGACCGCAGCGGGCGAATGAGGAAGTCGGCCGCGGACGCGGAAACCGGGCCGGGTGCAAGGTCTGCGGCGGGACGGGCCGACTCTGACTCAGGAGGACGCCCTGACAGCTGCCAAACGGTGCCCGCTGCCCGTTACCTCCGTGCCTCCGACGCCGGGAACTTCCACGGGAGCGGCTGCCCCGGGCTCCCAACCCGTGCGGCTGCGTCCCGGGGGCCGCGGCTCCAGAAGGGTTAAAAAGTTTGCCCGAGTCGGGCCTGGGCGAGGCGAGGCGAGGGCGGGGCGCGTGCCCCAGCGGCAGGGGAGGTCGGCTCCGGTGCCCAGTCCCGGGAACGCGCCGGGGGGCACGGGGGGACGCCGGAGAGCGCCGGGTCCCGGGGCCGCCCCTGCACCCCGAGGCCTCGCAGCCGGCGGCGCTCTCCCCGAGCGCCCGCGCGGGGGTCCCGGTGCCCCTGGGCAGGATGCGGTGCCGGGCGGGGTAGCCGGCGTTCGCGCCCGCCCACACGGGTGGCGGGCCTCACCGGGGCCAAGAACCACAAGTCTACCCGGCGGCCGCGCGTCTCGCCCCCGCCCGCCTGCCCGGGGCGGGACCGCGGTGGGGCTCGCTCACCTGAACCTGGATCTGCCCGGGGAACAGGCGCTGCTTCTCCTGAGACGACTTTCTCGAGCGCTCGGGCGGCGGCCGGGTGGGGCAAGTGCACGAGGCGGGAGCTGCAGCAGGTCAGCCTCGCTCAGACTTCCGTGCCCTGCCCAGGAACCGCGGTGATCTGCGCGCCTCACCGCACCCAGCTCGGCTCCTCGCCGCCTTCTCGCTCCGCGCTCGCAGTCGCTGGCCCACTCCCAGCCGCTAGCTGGCTCCGGGGCGGAGCCTGGGGAACAATCCCGCCCCCTTCCTGCTTCACCCACTGCAGACCGCTCCTGGTCTTGATTGGCAGACATGTTGGCCTGTGTGAATGGGGTGTGGGCGGAGCCTCTGTGGCCAGAGGGGTGGAGATTCATCCTCTTTCGCCCCCACCTTCCCCCGCGCTTCCTGGGAGGCGGGTCCAACGGACAGCCAGGTTCTAGGACAAGGATTGACACAAGGGGAATCCAATGAGGAGGCGGTGACTCGGGGCGCGGAGGGCTCGGGACCGGGGTTTTGGTGCCTGGCCTGGGCCGGGCGAGGCCCGGCGGGAGCCGACTGGGAAGGTCTGAACTCTGACACCCCGCCCCGCGAGCTGTGCTCTCAGACTCGTGTCGTCCCACCAGAAGGACAGATATTAAGTACCATATATGGGAAAAGTGCTATTTTACATAATTATGATGCCTGTGGGGGCGGGCATGGACTCAAGCCTGGATTCCTTTGTGGGCGTCCTGAGTTCGATTCCAGACCCTGCCTCTTTGGAGTCCGCACGCTGCTGCCTTTCAGCCTCCAAACCTTTGCTCTGGCTGTTCTCTCTGCCTGGAATAATACCGTTCCGAGCCTCTCTTCACTCCATGTCATTAACTCGCACACATCCTCTCAGGTTCTTGTTGCAAATCGCGCTTGGGTTACTGTCCACTACAAGGGGATGACAGATGTTTTCATTTTAAATGAAAAATCTTTCGATCCATTTGGAATTATTTTTTGGAGTGAGGAAGAAACCTAACATAATTTTTGTAATAGCCACTTGTCCAAACACTTTTCTCCACTGATTTTAGTTGGCACCTTCTCACTTATTGAACTATTTAATACTTGAAGCTGTTTCTGACTTGGATACATTGATCTTTCTGTGTGCACCTGTGCCCATCCCACAATGCTTTAATGATGATAGCTTTATAATGCCTTCTATAACTATGAGGGCAAATTTCTCATCATTACTGTCTTACTGGAACGGTCTTCAAAATTAACTTTAGGAAAAAACTATGTTCTAAAGGCAAAAGAAAGCTGGGATAAAAAAGATTTTGCAACTGCCTGACAAAGAATTACTATCAGCAATATATAAAGACCTCTTCTCAGTTGATAAGAAAAACCTCAAAGACTCCAAAATAAAAATGGCCAAAAACAGGAACAGGTGACTTTAAAGAAGAATTATAAATGGCCAATAATTATTTTTAAAAAGTCATGAGAATGCAAACAAAACAACATAGAATGCCATTTTTCACCTATTTCGTTCAAAAAATTAAAAAGAATAGAAATGCCCAATTAATTGATTAGGTTTATAGATACAGTTGAGAAAGTAAATTGATCAATTCTGTCTGAGAATTAATCCAAAAAGACATTAGAAAAGTATACACAGGTGAACTTCAAAGCTCTTTGCAACATTGTTTACAGTCACTAAATGTTAGAAATAAATGTAAGATATATTAGGAGATTGAACACATTGTGATACATTGTGATATATTCGTATGTCGAAAAGTACAAAAAAAGTCATTAACATTTTTTATGTAGATTGTCGTTGTTGATTGAAAATATATTAAGTGGCCAGATGCAGTGGCTCATGCTTGTAGTCCCAGAACTTTGGGAGGCTGAGGTGGGCGGATTGCTTGAGCCCAGGAGTTCAAGACTAGCTTGGGTAACATGGCAAAATCCCATCTCTACAAAAGATACAAAAATTAGAGGGGCATAGTGGCACATATCTGTATTCCCAGCTACCTGGGAGGCTTAGTCTGGTGTGTGCCACGTCCAGCGCTGCACAAGGATTCAAGGGCCTAAGAGGAAACGGCGGGGAAGAAGAAAAGACACGGACACAGACATAGAGAAAGCTGGGTCAGGCGGTCCGGGAGGTGAAGGATGTCAGTCTTCTGGTCCCGACCTGCTTCGGGGAACTTTATTTTATATGTTCACAAAGCACATAGCAGAGGGAGGGTGCAGTGACTTAGAACAGCCTGTGATGATTATTCTCATACTTCAGTTAACATACTTCAGCTAACAACTATCCTGCAGCGAGGTCAGTGAAAGCTGGTTATCTCTCTCTAGATCCCTCTGTTCTCCGAGACATACACATCCTCCAACTGTGGTTTCACTTCCCTGAAGTTTAACCAAAGTTCACAGCAGCCTTGCTGCTGATCCCCCTAGAGGGGGTGGGCTACTCCAGCTCCCTGCAGCTTAGGTGGGAGGATGGCTTGAGCCTGGGAGGTTGAGGCTGCAGTGAGCCTTGGTCACACCACTGCACTCCAGCCTAAGCAATGAAGTGAGACCCTGTCTCAAAAAAGAAAAGAAAAGAAAAAAGAAAATCTAAGTGAAGAAGAGCAAATTGGAAAATGCTCTTACAACATGATTTTGTCCTGGTGCAGTCACTCATGCTTGTAATCCCCGCACTTTGGGAGGCCAAAGCAGGTGGATTGCTCGAGCTGAGGAGTTAGGGAAAACAAAACAAAACAAAACGGCCGGGCGCGGTGGCTCAAGCCTGTAATCCCGGCACTTTGGGAGGCCGAGGCGGGTGGATCACGAGGTCAAGAGATCGAGACCACCCTGGTCAACATGGTGAAACCCCGTCTCTACTAAAAATACAAAAAACTAGCTGGGCATGGTGGCGTGTGCCTGTAATCCCAGCTACTTAGGAGGCTGAGGCAGGAGAATTGCCTGAGCCCAGGAGGTGGAGGTTGCGGTGAGCCAAGATCACGCCATTGCACTCCAGCCTGGGTAACAAGAGCAAAACTCCGTCTCAAAAAACAAACAAACAAAACAAAACAAAACAAAAACACTTAGTTGGGCATGGTAGTACTTGCCTGCAGTCCTAGCTACTCAGGAGGCTGAGGTGGGAGGATTGCTTGAGGCCAGGAGTTTGAGGCTGCCATGAGCTGTGAGCATGCCACTGCACTCCAGCCTGGGCAACAGAGCAAGACCCTGTTTCTGGAAAAAAAAAAAGTAGAAGAAGAGGGGCTGGATGTGGTGGCTCATGCCTGTAATCCCAGAACTTTGAGAGGCCAAGCAGGCAGACCACCCAAGGTCAGGAATTCAAGAGCAGGCTGGCCAACATAGTGAAACTCCGTCTCTACTAAAAATACAGAAATTAACCGGGCATGGTGGGGGCGTCTGTAGTCCTAGCTAATGGGGAGGCTGAAGCAGGAGAATTGCTTGAACCCAGGAGGCAGAGGTTGTAGTGAGCCGAGATCACACCATTGCACTCCAGCCTGGGCAACAAGAGTGAAACTCCGTCTAAAAATAATAATAATCGGCCGGGCGCGGTGGCTCAAGCCTGTAATCCCAGCACTTTGGGAGGCCGAGGCGGGTGGATCACAAGGTCAAGAGATCGAGACCAACCTGGTCAACATGGTGAAACCCCGTCTCTACTAAAAATACAAAAAAAATTAGCTGGGCATGGTGGCGTGTGCCTATAATCCCAGCTACTCAGGAGGCTGAGGCAGGAGAATTGCCTGAACCCAGGAGGCGGAGGTTGTGGTGAGCCAAGATCGCGCCATTGCACTACAGCCTGGGTAACAAGAGCAAAACTCCATCTCAAAATAATAATAATAATAATAATAATAAATAAAAAGACTCATTTCGATGTCACCACTTCTAAAACATCTTTCTTAACTCTCAAGGCCAGTTAGGAGCGCCTTGTCTGTACTCCAATCTCTTGTATCCATTCTCTCATTGTACTTACACACTGAGTTTTAATTGTTCATTTACTTTGTGCTTTTCCTGCCCAGGCTGGAAGCTACCTGAGGACAGTCAGGGACTGAGCCCTGTTTGTCTCTCTGGGCTGAGAACTAGCACAAGGCTTGGCATACAATGGCCTTTAGTGAATGCCTGAGCAGGACTCAGAGAGCCTGTTTCCTTGCCTGCAAAATGAGTGTAATTACAGATATACAGACCAATGGAACGGAACAGAGGCCTCACTCAGAAGTAACACCACACATCTATAACCATCTGATCTTCAACAAATCTTACAAAAATAAGCAATCGGGAAAGGATTCCCTATTCAATAAATGGTGTTGGGAAAACTGGCTAGCCATATGCAGAAAGCTGAAACTGGATCCCTTCCCTACACCTTATACAAAAATTAACTCAAGGTGGATTAAAGACTTAAATGTAAGACCTAAAACCCTCAAAACCCTGGAAAAAAAAAAAAAACCTAGGCAATACCATTCAGGGCATATGCAATAAACGTTGTGTATGGCATGGGCAAAGTCTTCATGACTAAAATACCAAATCAATGGCAACCAAAGCCAAAATTGACATATGGGATCTAATTAAACTAAGGAGCTTCTGCACAGTGAAATAACTATCATCAGAGTGAACAGGTAACCTACAGAATGGGAGAAAATTTTTTCAATCCATCTATCTGACAAAGGGCTAATATCCAGAATCTACAAAGAACTTAAACAAGTTTACAAGAAAAAAACAAACGACCCCATCAAAAAGTGGGCAAAGGATACAGACTATTCTTAGCAGAAGACATTTATGTAGCCAACAAACCTGTGAAAAAAAGCTCACCATCACTGGTCATTAGAGAAATGCAAATCAAAACCACATTGAGATACCAGCTCATGCCAGTTAGAATGGCAATCATTAAAAAGTCAGGAGACAACA